GGCCCCCAGCTCGGCAGTGCGCCTGCGCGGCCGGAGGGAACTACAATACCCAGAGTGCTCAGCGGCCGGCCCGCTCCTCGTCCGCGCTCGGGGGACTCGCTGCTTGTAGATGTGCGTGACCTGGAATTCAATGAAGCTGAAGAAGTTGTGCTGCGAGGCCACGCCGTGCGTCAAGCACTGCGCGGGGCACTAGCGTCAGGAAGAACAGCGAGACAACCCTTCCTGGGAACACCTCCCTGTGAACAGAGCGCGCGCCGCGGGGAGAGAGGTTGGCCTGCGCTGCCGCGGGTGAGCCGGGCGCCCGTGGGTGCGGTCCACGCCCGTGCTGGTCTTCCAGGCCAGCTCTTCACCGGAAAAGTCGGTGACTCCGTCAGTATCGTTTTTGCGTCTTTCAACCTGCGTTTCTTTCACGGCTCATCCAAATTTGATACGCAGTGTGGTTAACATGTTATATAATTAATATTATTAATATACTGTGTTATTAACTGACATTTTATATATGTAGTATATAATTATTATGTGGTTGTTTTTAAAGGCATGGTTTTGTTTGCCTCAGCCCCACGGCTTTAATGCTCAAAGGCCATAGTCCACACGGACAGTCCTCCCGGGCCCTGGGGCCGCTTCCCTCTGGAGGACACGTCCCCTTTCTGACCCAGTCCCGCTGGGCGCCTTGAGGCCTGTGCTGCTCTGCACATGCGCCCGTGCAGGGCCCGCCCCCTCCGGGAGCGGATTGGCAGGGAAACCGGAAGCTCAGTGAAACTGAGCGGTGTGAACAGCCGCTCGAGACCTCCGACAGCCGGGGGAACCTGGGGAAAGTACGACCTACGCCAGCGGCCCTGAACTGTCAGGTGAAGTGCAAGTGGGAAACCAGACTCTTGGAGATAACAAATACGACATCCAGAATGGAAAATATCCTGGGCTGGATGAAGAGCGGATTAGACACTGCAAAAGAAAAGATTCTGTGAAGTCAAAGACGTACCAGTAGTAACTGCCCGAAATGAAACGGAGACAAAAGATGGAGAATGAATAGAGCAGCAGCGAGTTACGGAAAATACGAAGTCACCTAACCGTGTACTTAGAATCCTAGAAAGAGAGGAGAGAGCGAGGGAGTAGGACAATACTTGAAGAAATTATGGCTAGATATTTTCAAAATGTGATGAAAATTATAAATCCACAGATTCAAGAAGCTCAATGGAATTCAAAGAAAAGACATGAAGAAAACCTCACCAATGCATGTTATAATCAAACAGCTACAAACCAGTAATAAAAGAGAGTCTTAAAAAGAGGAATAAAGATAATGTACAGGGGTGGGCAAAAACAGGTTTACAGTTGTAATACAAATAATACAATAAATAATACAAGAATAAACTGTTTTGCGTAGTCACAACTATAAACACTTTTGCCCACCCCTGTATGTACAGTACTGGGAAACAAAGATATTGCTTCTCAAAGAAAAAAAAAGTAAGCTAGAAGACAATGGAACAACACTTTTGAAGTACTGAAAGAAAGAAACCCACCAACCCAGAAGTTTATACCTATCAAAATATTTTTATGAATGAAGGTGAACTGGTAGTAGGATAAGATGGAGTAAACACACCTCTCCCTGTACCTGACAAGTACAGCTAAAACCCCTCAATATTATGTATAAAGCAAGTATAAGAAGACTGAAAGTTGGACAGAAGGCAGTCCTGGTAGAGACCTTGCAACCTGAAGAAAGACACAGTAGTGGGTTGCCTAGGTTTTCTTTTCCCTCGTATACTCTGGCCTGGGTGCTGGAGAAGCTGGCAACCCAAAATGTCAACTGGTGCAGATTTTTGAAAAGCCCCAAGAAAAGCCTGTTCTCTCCAGCCAAGGGACCAATGAAAAAGCAGTTTAGCATAACAGAAAACTTGAAAGAAAATGACCACTCTAATCCAGTCAAACACTACAGAAAAAACTCATCCCCCCTTATCTCCATCAGCAAAGGCTGAGTGTGGGACTTAGATTTCCACCCTTAGGGAATAAGGTGTCCCTCTGTCCCTGTAGGGGTGGTGTCAGAGAATGCTGTGTGGGGAGCTGGGACTGTCATTCATACCTTGTACTATTAAGCCGCCCCACACCCAATGTCAGTGGCAGCCATGTGGAAGTAATAGAATGCCTCTCCCCTCCATAAAAAATATTGCTGATGGTGGTGGCCTAGTGGGGAGCCTGAAATTCTACTCCTGCCCAGCAGTAACAAGAAATTCGCGTCCCCAGAGCTGTTAGTAGAGGCTGAGTCACTTGAACTTCCAACCCCATAAATAACCCAGTGGTGGTTACCTTCCTTCTCTCACCAGAGTGGTGTCAGAGAAGGCCTGCTAAAAATCCACAGTACCATAACGTAATACTCAAAGTGTCCCCGAATTTGACAAAAGATGTAAATGTGCAAATTCAAGAAGTGAAGAAAATGCCAAGCAGAATAAAAACAGGGAAATCCAGTCTAAGACAGGTAATAATGAAACTCCTGAGAATGAAAGATGAAAAATCTAGGAAGCAGAAAGAGAAGACAATGGAAAAACAATTAAAATGACAGTGGATTTCTCATTAGAAACCATGGAGGCTAGAAGGAGGTGGGACAACGTTTTCATTTTTTCAAATGCTAAAAGAAAGTAACCATCAACCCAGGTTATGAGTTTAATCAGTAACAATGCAGCAAAAATTCTTCCCATCATGTTTCCACCCCTGTGCTACAATTTAAAGATACACTGGAACAAGAAGATACGTTGCTTGATATAAACTGTGATAAAATTCTTCCTAGAGATGAGCCCAAAACTATATGATGATAACACCCAATAATTTAAAGCAGAAAAACCGGAAGCAGCAGCATGGGATAAAGTAGATGACGTAGGAAGAAACAATCCCCAGTATGCAGTACATAGTCAAGTGAGTGCCTTCTGGTTGCAATGGTGATAGATGGGTCTGATGTGAACATGTACAGACGCTAAGTGCATGAAGAGGTTCATCAGGCACAGAAGAGTCAGAAGAAGGATCTTCCTCTAGAGACCTGGAATTCAGAGCTGGTTCAAAACATCTATAACCAAGGAAACCCTGGATGCTCATGGCAGAGATGAGCTGGTTCCTAGGACGGGTACTAACCTTTCATGATGGAATTTGCCAAGGGATTACTTTGTAATTAAAAGTAATCAAAGCAGTAGAAGACAATAGAAAGACCCTGAAGGACTACTGGAAGTGCTGTAGGCTTATATGCAATGTGACACACCCATAACCTAATTAACTGCTCCTAGCACACTCATAATCTATCACTTATTCATAGTTAATTAACTAACCCAATTAACTATGAAACTGGCTATAATCAGGAAAATATAGCATAGATGGAATAATACTGTAAATTGTGTATATCTAATATGTGGAAAGTTATATAAGAGATATAAAAACTAAACAAATGAAAAAGCATCCTATCCGGCCAGGCATGCCTTAGCGGTTGAGCATCGACCTAGGATCCAGGAGATCAAAGTTCGAATCCCGGTCAGAGCACGCAGCCAATCAATGACGACTCTCTCATTATTGATGTTTCTCTCTCTCTCTCCTTCTCCCTTCCTCTCTCTGAAATCAATAAAGATATATTTTAAAAAATTAAAAAATAAATAGAAAAGGCATCCTATGCTCCTATATAAAAACTCTAAATATATAGATGTTAAGAGGAAAAAACCTTAATGACAATAAAAAGGCAAATATCAGCCTATGAAAAAAATATTTGTAATAATTGTCACATGGTTAATATCTTTATTAAAGACATTTAAACTAAATAAGAGAAGTATTAATACTTGAATATATAAATGGGCAATGATGGGAACAATTGAGAGCAAATGGAAATTCAGGCACACGATTCCCTGCCTGCTAATTAGTGTAACTGAGACACTCCTTGGGCCAGGGTTGCTCTCCCAGTGACTAGTTCTACGTCTTCACAAAAACAAGTGTGAAATGTGGGGACATTTTAAAATAGAGCAAAAGCTGCCATTCCAGAGTAACTTCCTTGTACATCTTACTCCTTGAACTTTGGGATGTTTGACTTGGGCAAAATAACCTTTGGGCTGGGCCAAAACAACATGTCTTACAAACAATTGTTTGTATAGCCAGCAGGAAAGCAGACTTGACCACAAGGACTGATGATGATTCTTTAGAATCAGTAACCAGTCATGAATAGCTAAAGAGTAACTAACCTAGCT